TGAGCATATCAGATGGTGGTGCAACAGTCCAGAATGGTCTAGAATCTTCATTGGATGTGGAGGTAAAGGAAAAGCAAGATAGTGATCCTATATTTCTTCAACTAAAGGGTGCAGTTCATCAGTACAGAGTTGAGGTTTTCTCCCAAGGGGGAGATTATGTGCTTCGTTATCAGGGTCGATTATTTGTTCCTAAGGTGGGTGAGTTGAGACAATAGATTCTTGCATAAGCCCATAACTCCAGGTATTCTATTCATCTAGGCACCACTAAGATGTACCATGATCTGCGGGAAGTCTTGGTCGAATGGTATGAAAAGGGATATAACGGATCTTGTGGCTAACTGACCTAATTGCAAGCAAGTGAAGTTAGAACATCAGAAACTAGGAGGTATGACTCAAGAGACTGATATTACTACGTCGAAGTGGGAAGTGGTCAACATGGACTTCATTATAGGTTTACCTCGTACTCGCAGACAGCATGATTCCATTTGGGTGATAGTAAACAGAGCCACAAAGTCCGCACACTTTTTGGCTGTTAAGACGACAGATTCGGCGGAGGACTACGCCAAGCTTTACATTAATGAGATAGTCAAGTTTCATAGGGTTCCTTTGTTTATCATCTCAGATAGAGGTACTCAAGTTACCTCTCATTTTTTGAATTTATTTCAGAAAGGTCTTGGTACTCAAGTTAATCTTAACACTAGTTTTGTAGATTCGTTTAGTTCATGGATTACACTTGCTAGGTCAGTTTATTCAGATATACATGCCTCAGTTAAGAATGTTTCATTATAAGTACATTAATGATGCATTTTTAGTAAGCATGTCAATATTTTGAGCTATTCAGTACTACATAACTTCAGTTATAATGTGTTATTTACATAAACAGTTGGGAGTAGGCTTAATACCGAGTGGACTAAGGGTCAGTCACCCTCATAGTTCTAGAACTATGTCTGTAGGTTTATAAGTCCCCTATGTGGGCATCAATTTAGTGATCACGCCAGTCATGCCTCTATATCTCTGGCAGGGTATATTGGGTCCTCTCGATATACGAACTCCACATTTACCTCACGTGGTTTTATGTCGGTTATAAGTAGCTCCCACATTCAGATTCTATTACATCGACCAGGTTACCAGTTACAATACAATATTCAGTTTTAGCATGTTATAAACTTGGTCCTTGCATTCAATTTAGTTCACATTGAGTATTTTCAGTATAGTTATCATGCTCAACTTTTATTATTGTTCAGTATGCTTTGTTAATTTATGTATATTGTTCAGCTATTTTATCCTGCATGCTCAGTACCTTTCAAGTACTGATGCATACTCTGCGCTACATCTTCTAGTGATGTAGGTTCAGGTCCTCAACATTCAGATCACACATAGATCGGTTCCCGATCTCCAGTTCAGTAGCATCAGTGGTGAGTCCTCATTCTTCGAGGACGATTGACATGATTATCATTCTACTTTCAGTCTTTAGTTTCTGTTTTGCTAGATTTAGTTGGGGGCATGTCCCAACATCTTTAGTCAGTAGAGGCTTTATTTCAGACATAGTTAGATTCAGTTTTAGCTTTGGAGTTTGATATCTCTGTTGCCATTAAACTCACAATTTCTTTATTTAAATAGTAATGGGTATTCCCCATCATTTCAGTTTCCACACAGTACTTTCTTAATTCAGTATCTTTAAGTATGCTTATGATATGCAAGCAGGGTTAGCTTGGGGTCACTCGTGATCCTAGGTTCCATGTTTGTGCCCTCGGGTTAGCTTCGGGGCATGACAGTCTAGGTAGAAGTACCAATGTATTTTTCTTGTTAATCATGGATTTAGGAATTTGCAATGCGTTGTCTACACTTGTTGGCTTTAACACAGCGACATTGCATTTGCTATATATATATATATATATATATATATATCTTCAATGGATCTGGTACCTCTTACTGTAAAATCATCAGAGTCTGCCTTTACCTCTGGACGCACTTTGTTCTTGATTCGTGATATGTAAAGAAGAAACAACCATCTTCTTCTAGTCCCATACAGTATCATAATCAAATTTAACACTTCTACTTACATGGATTTGTTGGGAAATAGGATTTAAAATCCTATATCCTTTAGAAGTGTTGTTGTATCCCACCAATATTCCAACACCAACTCTTTGATCAAGTTTATCCCTTGTAATGTCAGGAATATAAGAGTAACAGATACAACCAAATACTTTAAGATGAACAATTGATGGCTTTGTTCCAATCCATGCTTCGTATGGAGTCTTTCCTTCAACTGCTCTCGTCGACAATCTATTTTCTAGATAGACATCGGTAATGACAACTTCAGCCCATAGCACCTTAGGCCGACCTTTCTCAAATAGAAGACACTGAGCTATTTTCATAATGGACCTATTTTTTCTTTCACTTACACGGTTTTGTTGTGGTGTGTAATTGACTGTAAGTTGATGATTAATTCCTGCTTTCTAAAGAAAATCCTTGAATTGATTGGAAGTGAACTCGGTCCCATTATCAGACCTTAAGATTTTTATCAAAGAGCCACATTGGTTTTCAACAGTTGCTTTAAACCTTTGAAATGAAACAAATACTTCACATTTATGTTTCAGAAAGTACACCCAACAAAACCTTGTAAGGTCATCAATGAATAAAAGAAACATTTGCTTCCATTATAAGAAGGAATGCTCATAGGTCCACACACATTAGTGTGTATTAGTTGGAGCTTTTCAGTAGCTTCCAGACTTGATTAAAAGGAAATGGTGATTGACTTAGCTTCCCAATTTGACAAACCCCACATACATTAGAGGTTTCATTTATGGAAGGCATATTTGCCACAAGATCCTTATTTTGGATCAATTTTAAAGATTTAAAATTGATGTGACCAAGCCTTTTATGCTAAACATAAGTTTCATCTTGTATGCTGACATAAGCTCCAATGTCAGTATGTTTCCAATCAAGAGGGAAGCTTTGGTTGTTCATTTTGACTGAGAGCAATTTTATACCAGTTGGATCAATGATTTCACATGTTTTATCTTTAAATAACATGGAATAATTTTATCAAGAAATTTTCCAACACTGAGAAGACTTTGGCTAATTTCAGGAACAAATAATACATCAGATATAATCTTCATACTTGAGGGAGTTTAAATAGCAACAACTCATTTGCCCTTTGTCTCTACAAGTCTACCATCTCCAAATCTGACTTTGGAGAAATAATATTTGTCCAGCCATTCAAAAAATGTTCAGGTTAGTTGTCATGTGATGTGTGCATCCACTATTAACAAGCCACACATCATGATCTTGAGCTGCTATATTGTATTCTCTAGCAATTGAAGCAGCAAACAACTTCTCTTCAGGATCTTCAACATTTTCAGTAACTTGAGCGGGCCGGTTTTGATTTGTTTTGCACACCTTATCCACATGACCAAACTATTCTCACAACTTGCATTGAACTCCAGGTCTGTAGAAACAAAACTTGTATGTATGATTGGTCTTTTTAGAATAGGGATAAGGTAGATACTTGGATCATCTATATCTCCCTCTGTTGTTATATTGCTCCTTCTTCTCCTTACCATGTCTTCCATTTTGTTTCCTTTTTGATTCATCATCCAACTGATCTTTAGATCTTTGAACAACCACAAGAGCGATTTCACTTGTACTCTCTTCCTCTCTAAAAGATTTCCTTTTCTCCATAGCTAGAGAAGTGTTGGATAGTTCATTCAATGTGATACGAGACACATCCCAAGTATTTTCATGATTCTATCAATATAATCTTTCACATTTTTGGTCTCTTTAATTCTTAACATCTCAAAATCTTTTATTAGATTCAATATTTGCATTTTCCTCATCCTATCACTCCCTTGGAATTCTTGCTTCAGCATATCCCAAGCTTCGTTGGCAGATTCATATGTCATGATCCTGGAAAAAATTGAATCTGAGACAGCAGCGTGAATGAAAGACAGGGCTTTTGGACTTTTTGCGATCTCTTCATCATGACTTCTAATCTGCTGAAGAGTTGGGTTTGCTCTCAAAGGTTCTGGAGCACTGTCTTCCTCAACATACTTTCATAATCCAAGACCCTTCAAGTATGTTTTCATCTTCACTGCCCAAACTTGGTAGTTCTCACCATTAAAGATATGGGGTGAAAATGGAGAGCTTCTAGAGGCCATGTGAAAGGAAATTGAACAAAAAAAAAGACCTGGACAAGTTTAACTTGGTAGGTGATCTTGTTGTGTTTTTCTCTCTCGTAACAGTCCCTGAAAATCAATTTAGCTCTGATGCTAATTGAAGGAGAGACAGAGAAGACAGATATGATAATGGAGAGATAATTTGGAGAAAGGGAACAAATCATTTCATTAAGCAAAAGCTTACTACATATATAGATACATAAAGTGGTGTCAAATCCTGGAAATTGACTCCCCATTTTGTGCTTAAATCAAGCTCCACCACATATTACAATATCTTCTACATTCTAGAACTTTGTATTAAAATTAATTCAAAATTTATACCAAAAATATCAAGACAAAAGTACTAACATGATAGCACTTAGCATCACATACAAAAATAGCAACCTTCATCACTCACCTAGAAGAAACAAGGAAGCATATTGTACAAAAAAATCAAGGATTACGTCTCTAGGTTGTTGTTGTTGCTGGACTTCTTGAAAAAATGGACCCAACACATGATAATTGGAAGAAGGTTTAGGAAAATCTTAACTCATTCTTTGGTACTGTATCTGAACAGTGCCAATCAATTCTTTCTTTGAGCGATAATTACTTGCCCCAATATTTGAAGGCTTTTTTTAAAAAATTAAAAGTTAAATCCCAAGGATCTTTTTATTAAAATGGAGAAAAGAGGTGGCTCAAAGCCCAATCCAAAAAAAACAAAAAGTAAAGGACACTAGGAATTAAAAAATGAAAAAAAAAAAATAAGAAGACAAAGAGACATTAGGAAAGTGCATCCACTTAGTACTCGTTCTTCTTACCTGGCTTCCTTCGGTCACTGGAAAACCTCCATACTCTAGCTAATCTTGTAAAGCTACCAGGTGTGGGTTGCAATCATTTGTAGGTCTACAGATCTCACAGATTTCATGATTCAACACCAGTGAAGACTTCTTCAACTTGGAAGCTGCAACAGTTAGCTGGATCTAGAGGTAAATGTGAATTCGTTCATCATTTGTGCAATATTGTCCTTCATATTATAGTACATCAGTTTATATTTGATTTACTTCCTCCAATTATTCATCTCAATAGGTTGAATTCCTGAGGAATTGATACCACTGTTCAAGACTTATAATTTTCGGAGTACTTCATTTATAGCACTGAGTAAGATCCTTTTCTTTGACTGTATTACTATGTTTCTCCTTTGATATCAATGTTGTGGAATATTGAGATGGCTTGTGATGACTACTCTCGGTTGTTCTGGGCCTTGTATTCCTTTTTTTGAATCTTCTGTATGCGAATATTAGGAGTGTGTGACTTTTCTAATTGAATTATTGGTTTGGCCTGTTGTGGGAGTTTTTGATATGTATTTGAAGGCTTGTTTTCTTTATGTTGGAGGTTTTCTTGAAGATGTGGAGATTGATGTTTCCAAGTTTATTAGGCTATGGATTGTTCAAAAAATTCGTAAAGGCAAGAAACAATAAAAGGTCAGAAATGGTGGTAGAGGAGTATCTAGAAGAGTTGATTGATCAAAGTCTAATTTTGACCGGTAAACAAAGGGCTAATGGAAGGATGAAACATGCATAATTCACGATTTTCTTCGCCAACTCCTAAGTGAAGCTCATACTGAATATGTTGTGCATATCATGAATGGGAATGTCACTGTGACCTCAGAAGCCATAGATGATCAACGGCGAGTGATCTTTCCATTGGAAATTCAAGAGAAGAAGGTTTATCCTACAAGGCATAGAAGTGGTATTACAAGTATAACCCTCACCTTTATTTCACCACAATTAATTTATTTAGAAGGCATAGCATTGGTATCACAAGTTCCATTTTTTCACAGTTCAAGTTGCTTAAGGTGTTGAATGTATTATCAATTGAATATGATTTCTCTCGTGTAATACCTCAACTTGATTATTTGAAATATGTTGCTACAAGATTTAAGGGAGTTGTTTCACTAGCTAAATTGAGAAATCTTACAAGGGCTAAAGAGGAAAAGTTGAAGCACCCACTAGATATCTGGACAATGACAGAGATAAGACATCTGGATATTGAATGGCCTTGCAGCAGAACAACCTTTGTTTCTCAATAACTTGCGAACACTTTATCTCAATAACTCCCCCTTTGTTATGGAAATCATAAGAAGAATTCCCAATCTAAAAAAGCTAAAGATTTTAGATGATTCTGGGCATCCTGACTGGCATGCAATTATTGATTCTCTAATTCTTCTGGTGGAGCTGGAGTCACTAAACATAGTAACAGAAACTACCATTGACCGAATGATTTTCTTTGGGGATAATGTCCCTCCTAATCTCAAGCAACTGAAATTAACATATACTTGTATACCATGGAAAGATATGAAATTTCTGGCTAATTTACCGAATCTTGAGGTGCTCAAAGGGCATTATGCATTCAAGGGAACAATTTGGAAACTAGACGATGATGTTGTGTTTCACAAATTAAAATACCTACAAAAATTAGCAGGAGATCTGCAAAGTTGGGAAGCAGGTAGTGATAATTTTCCTATGCTTGAGCAACTAATACTTCATCGGTTGTATGATCTGGAGGAGATTCCTAAGAGTATTGGAGAAATATTGACACTTAAATAGAATGTCATCTAGTCTAAATTACGAATGAATCATACAATTAATATGTTGCCTATGCCTAACTATTATTTTGGTTGATGAAATATCTGCTGAGATCTCCATATGGTTTTATCCTATTAATTATCTTTTCTATCAAAATGCTTCATTCATTTATTTATAATTTTTTCTGCTATCGAATTGTATCACCATAAAAGGTAAAAAACACTAAACAGTAGATATGATAAATATCAACTACCAAAAGTCTTATAAACTTGGACCTATATATAATAAATATCAAAAGAATAGTTTCGTGATAGAATTGTAAGCAATATATATTAGTAAGTGATAAAGCACTCTTTGAAAAAATTGTATGTAAATGACAGGTACAAACTCACTCTCAAAGGAAACTATTGTATTACAATAAGATACTTAGATTTTCTAAGTGAATAGAAAAGGCTTCCTACTGTTGAGCTAGTTTGAAAAGCAGTGTCCCAGCCAAACCACAAAGTCATTGTATGGCTTTCGGCACAGAACAGGCTCCTTACTAGTGAAAGAATGCACCGAATGAATATATCAATTGATGATGACACTTGCTGCTTATGTGACAAACACTTACAGGATACAACTAATTAACCACCTATTCTGTCATTGTTACTGGATCAAAAAAGGTATTGAAGCATAGATAGGCATCATAGTGCACTCCGGGGAACTGGAAACACTTTAAAGGAATCCATGTATAGCTGGCTGAAGCATTATATATGTTAACTGCCTCAAAGAGAGCACATAGCAGTAAAGAACTCATGTATAGGTTATATAATTAACAGGATCATGTTTTATTTTCTTTAGCTGAGGCCTGATCCTTGTGGTTGTTTGGTTTTGGGTATTTTTCCCTTCCTATGTGGATAAATAAAATTTCAAGGTTTTGGGTCTCTTTCCTTTCCTTTATGGATAAATTTAAGCCCAATTTGGATTAGCCTACTTTGCCCATATGTAAGACTTTCTTTTAGTTCTTATTTTGAAGAATCACAAGAGTTTGATCAGTAGCCAGAGAGAAAAGTGAGAGTGCAGATTTTTGCACAAGCCCTAGCATCCAATTTCAAATCGCGATCCCCGCTTCGTTTCTTGTTTGATTGAGTTGATTTTTGGACATCTTGTTTCTTTCAACTTAATCATTGATTGGGAACTAAGATAGGGTGATTTGGAGTCATGTAGCTCCAGATTTTTCTCGTGAACAGTAGTTGTGTAATGGGTGATTTCACTCCTTTTATTTCTCTAGTTTTTGGTGCTATCTTGTAGTTGGTTTGCACATTGTTTAGAACTTTGTTGGTGGTCATTTTGGAGAACAGTTTTGTAACTCTTGTTGGTTTTAGTGTAGCTTTGGCCTTATGGTTTTTACAACTCACACCTAAGAGGTTTTCCACGTTAAATTTGGTGTCTTATGTGTTGATTTATTTTGCTTGCTTGGTTGATTTGTTTACCTCCCCAAGTAGTGATTTTCTTGCATTATTTTGTCTACTCTTGGTTCAAATAGAAAGGGAAAGTTTCGACTTGGGTTCTTCTGCTATTGCCCTGTCATGCACATTTATTTTGTGCTTGCCTTTCCCCAAAAAGTGGTATTGTTAACGCTCAACTACACTTCATCCAACTCTAAGTGTAGGTGGTCGCGCTAACAAGTATGAACCCAGCTAAGAGTTGGGGTCAATCGTACAGGGAGTGATACGGTAGAGAATTCAATTATGAAGTAACAACGTGGCCTAATTGTTTGTAGAAGTAAAGGTTTCTCAACATTAAAATAAATCACAAAGTTTCGGCGAAAAATATCAAATAGGGGGGGGGGGGGCATTGGTAGCCGATTTAAGACAAAGATTACTTAACACGGGAAGCAAAATAAATAGAGATTAGACCTTAGGATTGTGATTAATTGAATGCTAAATTCACGTAATTGGTAATTTCTAGTTGCTTAAAGTTGTTGAATCTCAATGAGTAGACTAGGTTTTGAGTGCAATATCCATTTTTCAATCAACTACTGTGCTTCAAGTGAGTTCTCTCGAACCTCAACAAGCATAACACAACCAAACAACCCAATGCCTTAATTAACCAACTCTTTCAAGTTGGGTTCGTAAAGACGCAATAAAACCCACTTTCTCAAGCTAGATTTTAAAGACACAATCAATTCAACTATCAATCAATCATTCTACTCTATTACCTCTTTCTCAAGCAAGCATAAAGAACTAAGTTAGAATTGAATTTGCAACTTCAATTCCTCAATTAAAACATAAATAATTAATTGAACCCACTTCAAAATAACATTAAAATCAGCAACTAACAATACCCATTAGCTAATTAATGCATTCGACTACATGATCACACCCCTAAGATAAGGAGTTTTAGCTAAGCATAGTGAAAAGCAAGAAATTGTTACCAACAAAGTTTTCCATATGATTTTCTAATGATACAATCTCCGAATCTAAATCCCAAAAACTACTAAAAAAGTAAAGACGGTGTTCTAGAATGTGTAAACTCTCAAAAACCCATAAGTAAATAGTGTGGGAAATTTCTCTCCTCTTTCAAAAATTGTGTTTATACGTTCGCAAAATTTTAGTACGGAGTCAACTCGGCGAAGTAAGTCGCGATCGCCGACCAGTTTGGCGATACGCCAAGTTGCTCCTCTTCTCGCCTTTTGGCTTGGCTTCTTCATCAAGTTATTCTGGAACTTTTGGCGAGCTTGATCACTATCGCCGATCGATTCGGCGTGTCGCCAAATTATTGATTTGTTCGCCAAGTTGGTTTTGTCCATAGGTTGTTTTGCTGAAGCTTTAGGCGAGTTGGAGGCCCACTCTGCGAGTCGCCGAGTGGGTTTTGCGATCTCCAGCTTCTCTTTTCTTCAACTTTTTCATTCCTTTTTGCAACATAATGTCCTTTCCTCACTCTGAAACCTTCATTGTTGCATATCAACATATTAACATAAGTTATGAGCGTAAAACAGGCATTGAAGACACTAAATCCTTGAATAATAAACCCTAAATGAGTCGAAATCTTTGATTCATCAACACCCCCAACTTAAACTTTTAATTTCCCTACTTGAGACTCAACATGAATGCACACGAGGTTCAATCTACACATGCAATCTTCAATTGTGCACTAAAAGTTTAAACTATGACTAGCCATCATCAAATAGAGTTCAAGCTCCAAAATTCTCACTTCAAATGCAAATTCATTCTCAACAAGAGTATTTGAATGCCCTCACACCACAAATGATTCCCTGCTATCACAAAGCCAATCCAAGATTTCAATTTAAGGAACCAAAATCAACTCTCTTACTCTCAATGACAAAAACATGCACGATTTTACCCATAGTCTTGCTTGTATTATCCAACTGCACATCATTCAGCTCATGTAGGATTAAAAAGTTCTTTCAAGGCCTGTAACTGCACTGAGGGTAAATGTATGATCATTTTGGCTTAGTGACTTCTATCTTCATGAAGAATGGCTCAAATTTCACTTCTTTCCCTTTTATTTCATTTTTTTAATCTTCACAACCCATCCTTGGCATATTCAAAGCACACAAAACTCATCGGATAGCTCTTTTCCTTCCACACTGCATAGTTAACACCAATTTTTTCATTTCTTTTCTTTTGTTGCTTTCCTTTTTTTATATGGAGGTGTTCCATCTTCTTTATCCTTTTCTTCAACACAAGTCTCCAAAGGATGGATTTCACGAACTTCATGCTCGATTTGTTTCCTCATTCTTACCAGACCCCCAACTTAGGCATTTGTCCTAA